AACTTGACAGGTTGCACAAAGCATCCCGTGTAAACGTTTTGTCAGGTTGAAGGATCATGATCATTATCTTGTTCAATTTCTGAAGCAGGTTCATCTTCTTCTTCTAAACAATCAATACCATAAGCTGCATGTCCATTTCCAAATGCTTTAATATGATCTTTAAGTGATCTTTTATGTTTAAAATCTGATCCACAAGTGCAATACCAAAGCTTCCCACAATTCTTTTCATGAGTTCTCCAATCACCTCTCACTGCAAATGCTTTACCACATTTCCTACACATAAATGGTTTAATTCCATGCTTTCTTTTGTAATGTGTTTGAAGTGTTCTAAAATCTTTTAGTGGCTTAGCTCTTGGATGATCAATGTTGTTCCTACAACCTGGTGCACAACAAAAACAAGGAAGCCTAAGCATTGCTGTTGGTTGTGTTCCTCTTAGAGATTCTGGTCCTTTTCTATATTGAGATCCATGTCCCCACATATGCATCTGTTGAAAATACAGGGAAAAAAAAACATATGGGAGGGAGAAGAATGAAAGTTAGTAAGAAACCAAACCAAAAAGAAGTAGAGTAGAGATCTACAATCGGATTCAAGTATATTGTCAGTATAATGTGTTGTCTAAGGACTGCGTACACACTAATCTCATTTATGATAATACACCAAATTTATTGTTGTAGTATAGTTCAGTATAATGAACTTTTAAATCGCCAGTTTAATTTAATCTGTTATAGTAGATTACTACCATTTATTTTAAGTTATCAACCGATGTATACTCTATTACTTTACAGAATAACTTACTACATGTACCTTTTGAGTGATCTGATTGTGTAAATATTTTTTGCACCGTCATCTCATAAAACTTAAATTTGTATGATATAAGGCTACTACACCACAAGTACTCCATAATTACTAATTTCCTTTTCAAGTTACAAAAGAAATGACGAATTCTCCCACAACAACAACAACAACCCAATATAAACCCACAAGTGGGGTTAGGGTAGGGTGGTGTGTACGCAGAACTTACCCCTACTCTGGGGATAGAAAAGTTATTTCCGATAGACCCATTGAGACAATTGCATTAATAAGGTATTATTAGGTCATATTAAGGGAAGAAGTGCAAGAAGGTGCAGAGAGTGAGATAATTTCAACTTTAATTTTTTCCACTAGGTATTAGATCATGTCTTTTGATATATACACTACTCATTACTATTATCTTTTAAGCCTTTAGAAGCACTACAATATCTTTGAATTTTGATATGCAATCATGTGAAAAAACATTATTTTCATTTATATGGTGAATTTTCTTTTCTGGAGTTGGATTATATGACATGAGATGATATTAAAATTAAAGTCTCTTCCTTTAAGGATTGCATTGTGGAGAGATCCTTTTGACAATGTTACTTAGATAAAGAAAAAAGATAACTTCTGTTGGAAAGCACACACAAATATTGGTGGATAAAGATGACTTGCATGTAGTCATTTTAAAATAAGGGAAAAGAAAGAAAAAAGTTGTTGTTTTGCTAGGGGAAAAATCCAAGAATAGTTTTTGCAGAATGCATTTGCAACTTGATTCACAAAGGGAGCAATATACTATGTAGTGTTTACATGCATGTTTCTTTGTAGGGCTATTGAAAATTAAAGAAGTATTTGATTATTGAATAGTGTTTGAACATGAATTTTGCCTAGGTAAAAATTACTAAAACTTTAGTAAATAATTTTTTTTTTTAAATTGGAATATTCAACATTTGCTTGTGGTGTCTAGACATATTTAAGGAGAAGGAGGATGTTTCTCTTTGTGTTACTGTCTTTAAGATTGAGTGTTCAGATTGAGAAAACACTTTTTTATCTTTTCTCTCTGTCCCTTTGATTAAGAATATATGCAAAACTAGGAATTTGGTCAGTACATAGCTGCTGCCTATGTGTAATATACAAACTTCAAGGACAAAAAGCATTTTAGATGTGTTGTTCAATCAAATAAAGAGAGCTACTGACCAACTTCTCAGTTTGGACCAGGTTGATTTATAAGATCCCCATAAATCACAAACAACTCATGCATAGGGAAATAAAAAAAAAATTTAATACCAAAATATACATGAATTATTATTTTTAATAGTTTTTAAAGAAAAGAAAACCCATACAAGGACCCATATAGTGTACTAACTTTTATCCAATCAATTTATCCAAGCTGAGATTTAAAAGTAAAAGGTTGAAAATAATGCTAGAAAAGAAGTGCGGTAACAAAGAGAGATGGGTTTTCTCTCTTTTTCTCAAAACCAAGAAAAAAAAAACAAAAAAGGGAAAAGGTAAAGAAAGAAATGATGGAAACACAAAAGGTAAGTTTTAGCCTTTAGCCTGTAGGCTTTTAGGATAAATCATAGTTTATAATTTTGGTTTAAAAACAACTAAAATATTCATACCTGCATGTTATTGTATCTATTGAAAGTCTTGAAACAAAGAGGACATGAAAATTGTGTAGGACCAATCAAAATTTGAGCTGGTGTTGGGATCCAATATTGACCCTTGTGAAGTGTGCTTGTGGTAGAATATCCATTGGCCAAAGTAACTTCTTGATCTTCTTTGTTGGTTTCTTCAATTGTATTTGTAGTTGAAATTCTTGAAATAAGTTCAGGGCTTGGATTAGGAAGCCCTAATTGTAAGGCCACACTAACACTTTCATCATCCTCTTGATCATCACCAAAATTAGAAATAAAGCTCTCTTCTTTGGTTTCCTTACTATTATTATCAACTTCCATAGTAGTGATATTAGATGAATAATCTTGATCTTGAATTTGCCTTATTGTTGGACTCAAACTAAGGAGAGGAAGAGGTTCTTTTAAAGGAGGAGAAGGTGGTGAAGTTTGAAAATATTCATTATATTGGAAATTTGTTGAAGGCAAGATATAGTTATAAGATGAAGAAGATGAAGAAGAAGAGGAGAAATGGTAAAGAGGGTTGAGATTGTTAAACCATCCATGGAAATAATTGGTGTAGGGATCACTCATTTTGAATAGTAGAAGAGGAAACAAACACTAAAGAGAAAGAGGGACAAAACACAAAGACAAATATATATAAACGATGATGAGCCAAAAAGTTTATAAAGGGAAAAAGACTGAACAAGAACGCCAAAATTAAAAGTAGTGAAAGGGAAGAACACTAAGAAACATTACTTATAGATCATGCAAAGCTAAGGCAAGAGAGAGAGAGATGTTTTAGGGTGTGAAGGGCAAGAGAGTGGTGCAGATTGAGGTAGTTAATAAAGTAAACCCTAGTGAATAAAAAAAAGGAGAGACATCACTTGTGAAAGGTGACTAAACAATAGAGAAAATATGCCCCCAAAAAAACAAAAAACAAAGCAGAATGGGAGGAGAGAGAGAGAGAGAGATAAATCTAGGGACTTGAAACAAGCAAAACTTTAAGAAGAAAAAAATGAAAAAATAAATTTGCATTTTTAGGTGTAAAAATAATGTAAATAATTTTTACATTATCAGATCACAAAAAATAACTATAGATAATTTAATATAAAAAATAAGAGTAGTAACTTACTTCCTCCGTTCACTTTTACTTATCTACTTTGAACTTTTCACGCCTTTTAAGAAATAATAATCGTAGTATGTATTTTACCATATAATCCCTAATAATGATAGTATTTCAAAAAATATTGGAAATGAGTAATTAATGATAAGGGTAAAACAAGAAAAAAAATATTTTTTTTTTGATTTGCTAAAATGGACAAGTAAAAGTGGACGGAGAAAGTAAAAATTATGACAGATTACTTGTTATAATAGGTTAAAATATATTGAAAATGTAAAAATTGTTTATGACAAGCTTTGAAAAAAGTTTGAAACCGGTGAAAACTATTTGTAATAAGTCAATAAACAAAGTTAATGAAGCAAAGACAAGACCATGAAATTAGGGTTGGCTGCTGTCTGCTGTAAATGTAGAAATTAAGAGAGAGAAATGTAACATAGGAATATAACAAATGCATACAAAAATGGCCATTGTAATTAGGAAGCTAAGCTTATTTAAGGTGAATTATATATGTAGTGTTGGGAATCAAAGAGTTTGAATACAAACCGGCAAATGCTTTGATTGAAGAGCTCTGGTCTGGTAAGAAATTAACACAGTAAAAATATATGAGAGATAAAGAGAATGAATACATGGATGTTGGTCATTTTAGTGTCTGATTCAAGTGTCGATCCTACAAGCTTTGGATCAACCTCTTACATTACTGTTCACACTTTTTTATCTTTCATTTATCTATATCGCAGTAACGATAAGATTATTTTTGTGTGATTTATAAGTCATTCAGGAGCGGATGCATATTTGTTGAAGCGGTGTCACGCAATACTGTTTTGTCAGAAAATTTTACTAAATTTATGTATTATACTGTACGGAAACAGATAAGTAGGAAAAAATGACACTTGATTTTGCTCTAAAAGGTCAAGGTTCAAATCCCAACTAGCACATTTTTTTTTTGCAAATATTTTAAGAGAGCATTTGTGGTTAAAAATTATGATGAAGTAAGATTGAACTTAGGACCTTTTCTAACTTAAGACTCAACAAAACCAATAAACTAAGGTTATTCCTTGTCTAAAAGTATGATAATCAAAGTTATATTTCAGTTCTTCTATATATTCCGACACCGCTTACAAATATTCCTGTGTACGCCCCTGAGGTCCATCGGTTTCAGTAGCAGAGTCAGAATTTTCACCAAACGTGTCAAAATATAAAAAAAATTAGATATACTGAAAAGTTAAAAGGAATTAACATATAATAAATATACATAGAATAAACAAATTTATAGCAATATAATATAATTTTCTGGCGAAGGGGCGTTGATTGACTCCCTTTAATTTCGTTGAATACGGCTCCGCCACTGATCGTTTCAAGTAGTAGAACTAGCTACTAATATTTATATCAGAATAAATTGCCTAAATAACACCCCTTTACTCCTTAGTATGCGTTCTTGACGTCGAATCCTGCATAAACGCCAGATAACTCGGACTCCAAATTGTATTTTATCTACACTACTGTGTCCAAAACATCTATAGTATAATCTAACTGATTATAATATTTTCTTTTTGAATTTAATATATAACACCAATGTAAAAAGATTTATTAATGTATTCTGACATGTCGTAGCAGATTACCGATCTTATTTTCTAGTTTATTAGTCTCGCTCATTGTGTACGATACCTGTAATTATCTTCTAGGCTATTGTTAGGAGTTAAATTCTATTTTTTAATGTGATCATGTAAAGCTTGTTATAAAAAGGTGAATATATAACTACTTATCAATTTGGCTTGATGGTGTTAAAATTTGTATTAAAATGACCGTTAAAGATTGTGATTGAATAGCAAGTAATCTCTTATTTTTACTTAAAAGTCTCATGTTTGAGCCTTTGATATGAAATTGGATTAGTAGGAAACATTTTATCGCTATAGTAAAATATTCCGGTGCAAATCCGAAATAATTAAATTTCAAAATAAATATCGAACACCGCATGAAAAATGGACAGCGAAGTGTAACTGTTTATAATATTATTGAGACATTTCTTTTTCTCTTTTACTATTCTTTATGTAAATGGATCCAACTTACTGTTCACTAGTCACTTTTCACCTTTCTGGCTTTTCCATTCTCCTTCTGTTTGGGTGCATGTGTTAAATCATACGTGTGTGTGCCTGCCTCGTCTTTGCTACTGCTATTTGTCAACTCAACTAAGCAATCATTACTTATAGTTGTACTAATACTAAGATGGCATTACTTTTAAATTTGGAAAAAAAAATTGAAAATTAAGTTTAAAAACTCAAAATAATCTCATGTGTTGCAAAATTCTACTGTTGGAAGTTATTTTCCGAATTAAAGCTTCATTAGTTCCCCAGAAATAATCTTCTATAATAATCATCTGTCATTTGAATGAAAATAATTTTACAAAAATCTCGATTATATTTTGATGGCATCCTCAAGTGTGAAAAGATCATCTAATTAAAATAATATTTATCTATATCTATCTATATATTATAAAACATGAATACGGTATCGGTTTACAAAAATAACCTTAGAATATTAAGCATAATAACTCATAAAAAAGGATATAAACCGAAATTCTAGATATTAGTCTTATAATCCTGTTAGTTTTAGGACATAATACTACATAATATATTAAAGTAATACTATTTTTTATTGTTCCTAGAGTCGACTAATATACGTAGAATCTCGATTATACATTATAGAGTCGACTAATATTTTATAATATTCTAAAGTCGACTAATATTCAACTAGAGTCGACTTTATATTATACATAATTTAATATGAAGAATATTAGTCGAATTTAGAAGCTAATGTTTAATATTTAAGATTTTAAAATTAACAAAATTCTATTTATTAAATTCTTATTATAAATATGTAGGAAGGTTTAATAAAATCAATTTCATAAAAATCTTCCGTATTGGAAATACATTACCACTCCATAATGTCCAATATCCACAAAAAAGTAATATTAAATGGACTGCATAAAGAGTTAAAATTGAGAAAAAAATACCCCCATGATAATGTATTTTTATATTATATTTGAACTATGTTCCTACTCAAATAATATTTTTTTAATTAATTTTTCGTGCAATATTAAAAAATATCCAATTATTATACAACAACTAAGAAATATTTAAGAATATAAATATGTGAGAAAGAAGGGGGAAAATGATTGGTAAGAGTCAATACCACTAATGATTTTACAAACATAAAGATCTAAATGCGAAATGTCAGATCAATCCTTTAGTCTTTGAAAATAAAATTTATGATGGACAAAATTATAATTAAGAATGAATATTCAAAACAAGAGGTGAACTAATATTAAGATCTGAATCAATATAGAATAAAATATTTTTATATTAAAGCTAAATAATTAGATCTTTTAATTAATTATTTAGCAAGAGAATCCAATTCAATTATTTTTTAAATTCATGAGTAAAATTCTTCTTTGAGTTTAAATTTTTTTAAGGTACATAAATTTATTCCATAAAAAGAATATTACAACATAAATTTAAAAGGTTAGTATATTATTAAGAATCAAAATGTTATATAAGTGTTTGAGGAAACACGATCAAAGCTAAATCCGAAACAAGAATAAGTTTTCAAGACTATATTGTAAAGAGTCAACTCTGGTATAACAGGATTATTCTTTGTAGATACCTCTGGTGGAATTGAAATAATATTTCTATGTCATGCATTACTTGCAAATATCATATCAAGAGACATGACACTATTAACAATAATAGCAAGTGATGTACCAATAACGATTTTATTGTGAGGCCATCCACTTTAGATTTGATATATATTTTTAAATAATTTAAATAACCATCGCAAATTTATAAGAAAAGTAAAATTGATAAAATGGGATGAAGTGCGTATGGCTAAGTGTCAAACGGTCGAAATAATTGCCCGGAGTTCTAGATATATATTGGATATTAATGAACCATTTGGTGGAAATTAATGGTTTGGGAGGTGATTTCTGTCAAGTACTACAAGTAGTTCTAAAATCGAAAAAAACATAGACTGTAAAAGCTAACTTGCCAAAGTTATACTTTTGGCCTTAAATGAAAAAGATTCAACTCACAAGAAATATAAAGTAAGAACATATCAAGATTCAATGTCTTGTTGCTTCGTGTCGAAAATGAAGAAGAGCATCCAATAAAAGATGATTTGGTTCTTCCTGAACACTTGGTTATCAACTCCAATGGTAATAGTAGTGCATTTAATAAGGGAAATATTTCTATCATTAGATTAAAACGCAAATTGTGCAAATCGCATGATAAAATTAAACAGATATCTTAACTAGCAGAAATGAATATGTTGATCAACTAAATAAAAAGTGGATTGCAAAATTTTATTCTAAAAACAAAATATTTTTTAATTTTTGAATCAGCAGAAATGATACAAATAATTACTACCAAGAAGATTATACTTAAATACTTTAATACCAAATGGCCTTCTACCATACATGTTTGTTGTCAAGGTTAATATTTTTTTTACGTATTTTAGTGTCACCGTATATATATAATAGACTAAAAACATGCCTGTCATGTGAAAAATTTATATAGGTTGATTTGAAGAAAAATATGTCTGTCATGCTACTGAAAACTTAGATACGCCGAATAACTTATGTAATAGCGTACAGATGGTATATAGAAGTTTTCACAATAACGTCATACATGCAAAAATTATGATACTGGTCAATGTACTTCTAAGTATAATTTTATCCCGA